CAGAGGTATCCAAAACAACATGGGCTATTGCCATTGCTCTTGGTTTCGTCTACCATAATTAGATGGTAAGAGTCTACTGTTGAAGACACGACTCACTGTGGATGTAGAACATAGAGAAACAAACTGAGCAGTAAATTCTCTGTTGGCTAGTTTATATAGTGCCAGAAAGTGTTATGTAGGCTGCTTGAGGAAAAAGACAACAACTGTCTCATCCAGCACTAAACCCTAAATACTAAAATACAGACCTACCTAGCAAGATGTGCCTATTGGTACAATGGCATGATCATTATGGGGGAGTAGCCAATCACCTTCTGATTGGATGAGACATGCCTTTAAATATCATATCAGAGCATAAATAAACAAAACAAGATAAGGCTAAAAGAACAATACAAATTATCAATTAAACAAAGTTGGTTTTTGAAAAGATAAAGTTGCAAGACCTTTAGGTTAAGCTAGCTAAAAGAGTGAAAAGACCCCAATAAATAGAAATAAAGATTAAAAGGAAACATTATAACAGGTGCCACTATACGTCAATAGATTAGGGAATATTCTGAAAACAACATGCCAACAAATTAGAAAATCTACAAGAAATGGACAAAATTCTAGATGCATACCACCACTTACTGAAACTGAGCCAAGATAGTATAAAAAAACTAAAAGAATTTACTGTGAAAATCTGAACAATTTCACTGCTGAAATCCTCCAGTCAGTTAAGGAAAAATTAATGTCAATGCTCCTCAAACTATTTCATAAAATACAAAGGGAAAAAAAACTTCAAAACTCATTTTACAAATCCAGTATTATCCAACTACTAAAACTTAATAAGGATACAACAACAGCAACAACAAAAATAAAACCATAGACCAAAATCCTTGATGAACACAGATTCAAAAAGCCCTCAATAAAATACCAGCTAATCAAATTCAACAACACATTAAGGAGATCATATACTATGATTAAGTTGGTTTCATTCCAGAAATGCAAGGATTATTCAACATATGCAACCAATAAATGTAATACATGGGGCTAGAGCAATAGCTCAGCAGTTAGGAGCACTGACTGCTCTTACAGAGGTCTCAGGTTGGGTTCCCAGCACCCATAAGGTGGATAGCTGTTCATAACTCCAGTTCCAAGGGATCTGATGCCCTCTTCTGATTTCTGTGGGCACTGCATACATAGTGTGCTTACATACTATGCAGGCAAAAACACACATAAAAATAAAGTGAAAAAGAATAAATAAATAAAATTTAATATTCATTCATAATATTCTTGAATAAACTAAGGATCATACCTCAATGTAACAAAGCTATATTTGATAATCCCATAGCCAGTATCTTACTAAACAAAGAAAAATTGAAAGTAATTTCAGGAAGATCAGGACAAGCTAAGAGTGCCCACTGTTCACTCTTATTCAATACAGTACAAAAAATTTTAACCAGAGCACTTGGGTAAGAGAAAGAAAGAAAAGATATACAAATAAGAAAATATAAAGTCAAATTTTCCCTACTTCCCAATTATGTGATTATATACATAAACAATCCTAAGGAGTCCATCAAAAAACTTTTTTGGAGACAAGGTCTCCATGTAGTGGGGCTGGCCTGGAACTCACTAGTAGACTAGGCTAGCCTTCACTGTGACTAGGTGAACTCACAGAGATCCACCTGCCTCTGCCTCCTGAGTGCTGGAACTAAAAGCATGCACTATCATGCATGGCTAAAAAAAATCTTAATGTAAGGCCTTAAACTTTGAAACTACTGCAAGGAGAAAACACATGGGAAACACTTCAAAATATTGACAGAGCAATAACTTCAATAGTATAGGGGGAAAAATGACAAATCAGATTACACAAATTTAAAAGCATCTCTGCACCAAACAAAACAACACAGTGAAGAGACAATCTACAAAATAGAAGAAAATCTTTGCCAGGCATTCATCCAACAGAGGTTTCATATCCAGAATAAAGAACTTAAAATATATCAAAAATATTAATCCAATGAAAAATGTGTAATGATCTCAACATCTGTCAAAAGAAGTACTAAAAGTACAAATAAACATAAAATGCTCAATATCTTTGGCCATCAGAGAAACACAAACCAAAATTACAGTATTTCATCTTATCCCCAAAACACACCAAAAAATAACAAATGTTGGAGAGGATGTAAAGGAAAACACTTTTTTATATTGTTGATAGAATGTAAACTAGTCTTGCCACCGTAGAAAACAGAATAAAGGTTCTTCAAAAAAAACTAAATATAGAACTGCTATGACATCCAGTTATACTATTCCTGGATGCCTATCTGAAAGAAATGAAGCAAGCATACAAAAGAGAGACCTATAACATCATGTTTATTGCAGTCCTAGTTACAATATTGAAGATATGACATCAACCTAGGCGTCTATCAATGGATGAATAAAGGATATTTATATTCATGTGTGTGTGTGTGTGTGTGTGTGTGTGTGTGTGTGTAACAATGAGGCTAGGGATACAGCTCAGTGGTAGGGTTCTTGCCTATATGTGCAAGGCATTGAGCTCAACCCCAGCACTACAAAAAGGAAGAGGAGGAAGATGAGTAGGGAGAGAAGAAAAGAAGAATAAAATCTTGGCATTTACAGGAAAATAGATGAGATAAAATAACATTGTGGGGGATGGATAGATGGCTCAGTGGTTAAGAACACTGGCTGCTCTTTGCAGAGGACCTGAGTTCTATGCCCAGCACCCACATGGTGGCTAACAATTATCCATAACTCCAGTTCCAGGGGAGCTGACACCCTCTTCTGACCTCCATGGACACTACATGACACACGTACACTTACATATATGCAGGAAACATACTCATACAAATAAAATAAAAATAATAAATGAAATATTTAGAAAGAGAACACTGTGCTAAGCAGGATAAGACATATTATCTCTCATATACAAGAGAAACAAAAGCAAATACCTGAATATAGAAGAGGTATAGTTAGACTTAACAAAGCACCAAGGGAAGGAGAGAGTGGAAGAAGAGAGAGGGTAGAAAAGGGGAAGGTGAAAAGATTCTATACCCTACAACAGAGATACCTGCACAAACTTGCTGTATTTTTTATAGTAACGAGGAAATGGAACCAGCCTAGATGCCCATCAAACAGAACATGTGGCATAAACAGATAGTGAAATTCTATTCGGTTGTAAAGAAAAAAATAAATCTGCAGGAAAATGGATAGATCTGGAAAGCATACTAGTCTCTGAAAGAAAAAAAAATCTATGTGCTCTCTCATATGCAGATCCTAATTTTTAATGTTTGTGTATATGTAAATAAGTGGTTGTAAGACTGTATAGACTATGAAACTAGATAGGAAACTGTGAGCCAAGAATCATAGGTGTTAAGAAAAGGAAGGGGGACAAAAGATCACACGTGACATGGAAACAAAAAGAAAGCTATAGGGGATGGTAGGGTACAGAGAACAAGGGCTGATGGGGAAGAAGTTGGGGGAGATAAATAACAAAACAAATTTAGCTTGAAAAATGCTATAATGGAACCTATCTTTGTAAGCTAATAGAAATTAAATATTTAGTTCTCTAATAGTTTATTTATATTTTTATTTTATGTGATAAGTGTATTCCCTGCATGTGTGTAAGTACACCCGTGTTATGCAAAGCCCAAGGAGGTCAGAAGAAAGAATCAGATCCCCTGGAACTGGAGTTATGGACAGTTGTTAGCCACCATGTAGGTGCTGGGAATCAAACCTGGGTCCTCTGAAAGAGCAGTCAATGCTCTTAACCACTGAGCCATCTCTCCAGCCCCAAAAAATAAATACTTAAAGGGAGAGTAGAAGTGATCCCTGCACAATATATGCATATCTAGAAATGTCACAGTGAGGAGGCTAGAGAGATGGCTCAGTGGTTAAGAGCACTGGCTGCTCTTGCAGAGAACTCAGGTTCGATTCCCAGCACCCACATGGCAGTTAACAACTGTCTGTAACTCCAGTTGTAGGGGATTAGATGCCCTCTTCTGACTTCCACAGGCATCACATAACACGGGTGCACTTACATGCATGCAGGCAAACACTCATACACATAAAATAAAAATAACATTTTAAAAAAGAAATGTCACAGTGAGAGGTATTAATTTGTATTAATTCTAATAACTATAAGACAAATAAATAATAAAAGAGAAAACAGGGCTGAAGAGATGGCTCAATAGTTAACAGCACTGATTGCTCTTACAGAGGACTGGGGTTTGATTCCCAGCACCCACATAGTGGCTAACAACCATCCATAACTCCAGTTCCAGGGACTCCAATGCCTTCTTATGACCTCTGTGGCCACTGCAAGACCCAGGTGCACTTGCATATATGCAGGCAATACACTCATACACATAAAAGAAAAATAATAAATAAAATATTTTAAAAAGAGAAAATAATGGTAGGTAAAGGGAGAGGCATGGAAAGAATCAACAAAGATCTTATGAAACCCACAAAGTCTAAAATATTTAACATATTTCTATAGAAAAAGAATGACAATCTAATGGTTTAGCTCTGTGGTATAATGCAGACCTAGCATTATGCAAGGCCCTGGGTATTTCCAACACTGTGAGAAAAGAAAACAAAAGTCTCTCATGTTCTACATAATATAATCAATTAAACTAGCCTATAAATTTACTAAACACTACTCTACTAAATACTAAACACAGGTTCTAAATATATATTACGCATAGCTTTTTCAAAATGTATCTTTGTGGTACAACATCCAAAAGTACTAAAACTTAGCTACATAATATGCATATTTGATCTTAAGTGCACTATCAGCATGTTAAAATAATATACACACCTTGACCAAGGTAGTTATTAAATCTATAAAATTGATACAAATAAGATTGTAGCTTTACATGAAACATAAAATTTTTATATTTTAGCAAAAAATAGTATAAATGTTTATAGTTTGAAAGTACAAGTCAGTAATTTCGATATTAATTTTTAAGGTAATTGCTACATATTAATAAGAAAGATTATATACTTACCAAGATTTTTTTCAGTTCTTCAATTTCCACTTCTTTCTTATTTTTAAATTTAGTCATCTCTTCTAAAATAAGCAAAAGAATATAAGTGTGTTGATAGCTAGATTTAAAAGATAGGAAAGAGAATGAGTAAGAATGCCATTTGCTGGGTATCAGGCCCCAATCTTAGTCTAAGAATCACTGGCAGTTGACACTGCTGGGTGAGGAAGGGCTGATCTTCGTAACCGGAGGGACTCTACATAGACTGACTAGACCCCAGTGGATAAACTTGCACTGAGAGTCGTCTGAGGACATTAACTTGACATGATAAGCCTTAACACAAATGACAGAATATGAAATACAGTGGGGGGTGGTGCTATGGGAGGGTATCAATGAGCAAGCAGGTATAAAGGTGATTAAGACTGATTAAGATGATCTGTATGAATTACACAAAAATTCAATAAAAATTTACCCAAAAAAATGTCATTTGAAAGGGATAAATCAAGAGATAGATTATTCCACAGAGGAAGTATCAAAGGAGACCAAATCAACTAACATAACTATATCAGTAGTAGTGCTTCTAGGTTAATTCGTAGCCAAATGAGTTCGAAACTCATAAAGCAAAATAAGCAACTAATCTACATAAAATATATTAGAAACGGGGTCAGTGTGGACTTTTACTTTCAACTGATTGCTAGCTAAATCTGGCTTTGTGATCTTCACTATAAATTTAAAAAAACTGATCTTTTTTCAAGCTAATTCTGATCTTTGTACTTTGGATTTCAATATTCCCACCTCTTCTCAGCCTTCAGCTGCTCTAAAATATACTAAGTCTTTGTAGAGGAATCTTTAATTTCTCCTATCCCACCTAGCACCCCCTTTGAATAAAAAAAAAAGCTGATGAACCTTACTGGCCTTTTAAACTACTGTCCAATTTATCGTTGTGTTTTTCTAATTCTTGCTTAACTACACATCTTTCTTAACTCCACGTAACACTAATTCCTATCCCATGATATTAATAAAATAGTGATTTCTGTGATGCCATTTTCAGACTTATCCATTATGGAGCTTGGTAGTATCTGATACTACTTAGCACTCGCTAGCGTTTTCCCCTGGGTTACCAAAACCTTGTATAATTTCCTGTTTCCTCTCTAACTCTTATTCCTATTTTTGTTTTTTTACCCCTTTCCTTCTTGCTACCCTAAATAATAGTACTTTACAATGTTTATCTTTACTTCCATTAATTCAATATTATGCTGATGAATTTTAAACTCTTTTCAGTCCAAACCTTTTTTTTTTTTTTTCCTTTCCAACAGGGCCCTCTAATTTC